CCCCGACGCCCGGCTTCGTCCCCGGGGCCCCGCAGCGCCACCTGCTGGACACTGCGCGTCGCGCGTCCCTACCGCGGGGACAGAAGGGACAGCAGCCGCTAAGTCTACAGGAGTCCGGGTGAGCGTAGCCGGGGCGCAGCACTCAAGGAGGCTGAGGCAGGCGGGTCGCCAAGGGCTACATAGCGAGACCCTGTTTCAAAAAGCAAATGTAAACACAGTAACAGAAAGCTCAGCTTGCTTGTAGTCTGAAGACAAAGTAGGAGGCTCCAGGGGCTGCTCTCGCTGGCCAGGCGGCGTCTTCACTCCTCCTGCATGAGAAGGGCATCCTCCAGCCCAGCCGCCCATGAGCACGATCCTGTCACACACGCATGTGCAGCACAGGCACTGCCGGGACCTCAGGCCGCTGCCAGCTCCCTGTGCACCCGAGTGCTGTAGCAGAAGAGGTAGGCGGGCAGCCCGAAGCCCAGCAGTGAGAACAGCAGCAAGCCCAGGTTCACCTGTGGCAGGGAGGGAAACTGAGTCAGGGGTCACACAGCTTGGACAGAGGCCCTGGGGACTCCGCGCAGCAGGGCGGCTGCAGATGCAACTTCAGGCGTGGAATCTGGGCTCTCAGTGTCCTGTCTGGGGAACACTACCCCAGGGCAAGTGAAGAAGCTGCCGGGTGTTGGGGTACAACCCTGTCAGCTCAGCCCTCAGGAGGCTGAGGCAGGAGGGTCTCTGTGAGTTCCAGGCCAGCCTGGGCTACATAGTGAATTCAGGACCAGCTTAACTATACAGCGAGATCCTGCCTCAACAAACAAATAAAAAGCCAGACACTTGCAGGGTTGGGGTCGTTTGTTTTTGTTTTTTGTTTTGCAGCACTAGGGACTGAGCTCAGGGCCTTTGCATGGAGCTGAACCCTAGTCCTTTGTATTTTTTATCTTGAGACAGGGCTCCCTAAATTGTCCTGGTGGGCTATCGCTTGTGATCCTCCCGCCTCAGCCTCCCAGCTGCCTCTCCCTCCACCCCTGAGCCCTGGCTCTCACCCAGAAGGGCTCCCCACACAGGGGCCCCACCATGGCCATGAAGAGCGGCTGCTGCAGCAGCGCGACCACGGCACTGACCAGCGACTGCAGGCCGGTGAGCGTCCCGAAGTGGCTGGACGGGAACCTGGAGACCAGGGGCACAGTGTGTCAGGGCCAGTGCCACCTGGAGACAGACCGCACCCACCCGCGCCCACCCACGCCCAGTCAGGGCCCTGCCGGGTGCTGGGCAGGGTTCAAAGAACGCAGAGGAAGCAACAAACCAAGCCAGCCACAGTGGTACACGCCTGTCATCCCAGCTCAGGGAGGCTGAGGCAGGAGGATCACAAGCTACAGCCCAGCCTGAGCAACTTGGCTGCTTAGCAAGACCCTGTCTCAGATTTACAAAAGAATTCCATAGAGGGTCGGAGATGCAGTTCAGAGCCAAGGCCCCAGGTTCAATCCACGGCCCCAAAAACATTAAAACGACAAGGCTTCTGCTTGTGCTTGGAGAAGAGGTCTTGACAGCCAGAGATTCGGGGCTGGAGATGGGTGAGGACACGGCAGACAGCACACACAGGAACAGGGGCCCCTGGGGCAGCGGAGGGACCCGAGGCCTCCAGGACAGCGTCACGGAGGCAGGCAGGTGGGAACCGAACTCACACAGCAGCGTAGAGGCCTCCACAGGCCGAGTGGAAGAACCCGCGGACCACGGTGTGCAGTACGAAGGTAACAAACTGAAACCGGAAGGAGAGTGGGAGAGGTCAGGGGAGCCCTGGCCTGGGGCCACCAGCTCACTTCTGTCTGGGAGGCTGAGGCAGGATTGCAAGTTCAATGATCCGGGATTGAGCACCACAGGGAGACCGTCTCAAAATAAAAAGGTCTGGGGTGCAGCTCAGCCCCAAGTGCTGGCCAGAGTGAAGCCCTGCCTTAGATCTAAAACGTCCCGACCCCCTGGAGGCGGTGGGGCACCTGGAGGTGCAGGCTGTCGATGAGGCAGGTGACCCCGAAGCCCACAAGCACCAGGTTGGTCAGGGTGAAGGCGCTGATGGCATTGCTCAGCTTCTGGGCCTTGCAGTCGCGAGGCTTGGTGGACTTGGCTGCTGCCGGGTCCCTGGGGAGAACCAGAAGTCACGGCTGCTGCCTCGGCTCCTCCCGTGGCGCCCGGGTCTGACCTCAGCCCCTGCAGTGGGGCAGAAAACCTTTCCTCTAGCTCTGACTCAGTCAGGGGGCTCCCTGATTCAGATTCACAGATCCCGCATCTGGGAGGCAGAGGCAGGAGGGGCAACTTAGCTACAGAGGGAGGTCTCAGAATTGAAAATACAAAGGGCTGGGCTGTAGCCCCAGG